AGATGACCTGCCATGTAGCCTCGAATTGCCCGCTTAGCATTGAATCACAGTTAATGTAATTAATAAAACCGGCGCAACGACTACTGATGAGAAAAGACAAAATATTACTGTATCTAGTACTACATCAAAAATGCAAAAAGAACAAATTATCGAAAAATCTAAAACACTAATAAGATTAAATTTAACAGAAAAACTTATCGACAACGCTAATAATCATACTAAACCGGCTAGAAACATAAAGATTTAAGTATAAACTTAGACCAATTTAAAAATATAATAATAAATATACAAGGTAACTCAGACCCTATCGATATCTGCAAACAATATGGAACATATACTAAAACTATATTAAACACAATTGGAGTTGGTCAAGCCGCCGATTAAATCGCAAAGCTTTAAAAATAGATTAACACACTGATCAAACTAATTATTTGAATCAATTAATTTTGAACACAACATAGCAACCACCTTAAATACGGAAGGCCGTTCATCGTCTAATGATAAACCAACCGACCAGTAAGGCCATTAACTCTATTACCAAATATAAACAATATCCCACATATTATATATATACACACAAATACACTCATTATCAACTAACATCCTACATCCATACCAAATACAGTAATAACTAATAAGCAAGTATAACATTAAATTAAACAAAACAAATACAGATCATAATATATTACAATGGAACATTAATGGATTCTATAGAAAAATTGACGATTTTAAAAGATTAGTTCATAAATATGCTTCCTTGGTAATCTGCTTACAAGAAACAAATTTCCCTGAAAACCATATCACAGAACCTAAAGATTACCACTGTTATTCAAAGAACCTTTCCGTTAAAAGTTGAGCCAGCGGAGGCGCATCAATCTACGCAAACTCATCCTTCCCCTCCGAAGAAATTAAAATCACATCCAACTTTGAAGTAACAGCAATAACCATTCACATAAAAGAAAAAATTAACTATTTGTAACATATATCTTCCAAACCTATATGATTTTGAAATCGAAAATCTAGAAAATATAATTAATCAATTACCACGACTTAACCGGTGATTTTAACAGTCATAACTCTCTATGGGGAACACGCATATTGATATTAGAGAAAAAAAAATAGAAACAATTCTTGACCATAACTATACAACACTACTAAACGACTTAAGCCCTTCGCACTTACCGCGAATGGATCCGTATCGGCCATGGACCTTGAAACGGTACCGATCCGAGGCTGTCTGTCTGTTAGAAAACAAACTTAATTTTATTACTTTGAAAGTTTTCTTGTCTATATTTTCATCAATATAACATATATATAAAGGTCAAGATTAATATTGGTCCGTGGGCTTCCTAATGATGGTGCGAAGCCACCTGATTGTTACTCCTGAAGTCCTTGGGGATGGTTCCGCGGAATGGTTGGCTGTTGCCTTGAGGAATTGATGTGTCCGTTTGGTTATTCCATTCTTCCGCTACTGTGTCCGATGGACCCTGGGCGTAGTACTATTCTGCTTCTGTCGAGGTCCTAGGTAGCCGTCTGGTCCGTGAGTCGACTAGCTGGAGTAGTAGTATTTGTCCGTTTCTACCGAGGTCCTTATATATCTTAAATTAGAGTATGATAACTATTGATCGGAGTAAATTGTAGGTATAACTTTGTACAAATTAATATAGGTAATTGGTAGTAAGGTATTGCGCTTTTCTTTTTTTCTCCTTTGAAACGATGTCTCCCTAAATTCTTATTAACACGCATCTAAAATCTATTGTTATGTAGTTCTCCGTGATTTTGATTATTTCTTCCTCCAAATTATTTTCATCTTTGAATTTTTTGAATAACATTCTGATTTGAGATCTCTAAGATGCAATCTCTAAGGATGTATCTACTTATACAATTATCCCAGGACCTTTAATTTTTTATGTTATTGAAATTGAGCTACCTACTGCTATGTTTCAACATAAATTGCATCTGTCAAGTTAAGTGTTAAGATCATATTTTTATAAAAAATTTGTTGCTTTACCCTTGTTGTAATAGGTACCACAGAAAATTTACGGTATATATCTTTTTTAACTATTTAATATTCTCATGAACAATAATTTATATTTACCAAAAGATCCAAAAAAAAAGTAAACCACCTTTGCACAAATTTAATTTTCATCTGATAATTGTATTTGGTACTCGTTAAATACTTATTTAGGTACCACATATTTTTTGTGTTAGTATGCTGTCCGCCTAAATATATGTATCTACTGATATCTATTTAGTTGGCTTTATGATTTTGCTATTAAAATAAGACATTATGGAAATGTAAAATTGGTATTTATCAATATTACATTCCTAATAAATAAACTTCAACAATAGTTTTTATAGGGTAGACAGGTACCATATTTTTCATTTTTCATTTTTACTTAAAAATAGTGCCAAGCAACAGTTGGCCTTCAATGTATTTTTAATTGTTTACTTCTTCATTGTAATTTCATTAAGTGCTTTTTCCGAAGACATAATTATGTTAGTTGGCACCTATATTCATTATGCTACTTAAATATTGATATTGTAGTATTGAATTATCAATGGATATAATTGGCTAACAATAAAAATAATATCCACAATTATTAGTCTAAAAAACATATAGGCAAATTGTAGAATTAAATACATAATAAACACAATGAATTTTTTAATTTATATACCTAGCTTTTGTAAAGCATTCACTTGTATAGTTTAATTTGGGTACTTAACTATTGAAAAATAATTTGGTACTTCATGGTTACCTACCTACTTTTGTTTAATTGTTCATAAATTTTTTGTAGGTACCATACAAAATGGATCAAGAAGGTAATAATGGTAATAATGACCGAAGAAGGAGCTCACGGTTGGCTGCTAGAGGCATAATGAGTATAGTGACTACACCGAAACCTGCAATTATTGTTAAAAACACAGTGAAGAGTTCTGAAAAACCTAAACGATCAAAACGTAAGACAACTGAAGAAACAATTGAATTGCCTGAAGCTAAAAAAACTAAAACCGAAGATTAGACATCGTCTGATAAGATTGACGGTTCCCCCTCAAAATATCCCATGCATCAAAATATCCCTCGTTCAAAATATCCCCCGTTAAAAATATCCCCGTTACAAATATCCCCCGTTAACAATATCCCCGTTACAAATATCCTACGTTAAAAATACCCCCGTTACAAATATCCTATATTCAAAATATCTCCAGTAAAATCCCTTAATTCATATTTATCAACATGCAATTTAGGTCCGTAGGTATGCTGACCATGCGAAGATTCAGATAATGATAATAAAATATATAATAATAATAAGAATATAACATTTAATTGCCTTAAATCGGTCCGTCGAATATTTGACATTAAACGTTAAATATAAAATACGTAAATATACATATAAAAGTTTTTTTAAAACGAAAAATTACACTCAATGCCTTTTAAATAGTTAAGTACAATAACATGTTCATAATTAAGAACCACTTCTTTTAATTGTTTATCCAATTTCTCCTAAATTTTCTTTTTTTTAACGGGTAGCTCACCAGACATGTATTTTTCAATTTTTGCTTCTTGAAGGCCTACATAATTATAATAATATTACTTAAATAAAAATAAAAAAAATAATAATTGTATATTTTATTTACCTTGCTCTAATTGGAGACACTTGATAAATTTCCATATCGATGCATGATGAGCTCCTAGAGATCCATTAAAGGCATGGTGCCACCCCTCAACGTCATTGTTTGTGCGAGGCTTATTGTCAATAACTGATTGATAACAATTCCACAAATCAATATTAAAATGTGCTCCTCTTCGTCCTGTTCGCCCTAAACGTCCAATCCACGTGTCTTCAAAATACATTATTATAGATTCTAATAGTTCTTCATTTTGTATATAATATTCTGATTCAATAAGCTCATCAAAGGCTTCGATTACTTTATTTGGTGGTATAAATGACAATGAACGAAGAAGTCGAACTTGTAATGCAAATTCAGAATCTTAACCATATTTTATCTGTAGGCCACCATTTTGAATTTTCCTCCAAACACACTGAGTAAAATGAAAAAAGCAACTTTTAATAACCACCGTTGGAAATTCTTCTTTAAAAGTTGATATAAAAGCATTTTCAAAGTCAACCATTTATATAGATGGCTTCAGATTTAGTTTCTTAGTTTTTAAAAATTTAAAAATTTCTGAATACTTTATTTTGTTCGGTCAGTCATTAAAATATAAACTAAAGGATATGTAGCATTTTTTTACAAGCGTGAATTGTATAAAGTTGAGAAAACAAGGGTAGAACAGATTTAAAAGTTCCATCAGCCATCCAAACATCTGATTCACTTAAAAAATCTAAATTGTTTTCTGTAGTAAATATTAAACTATGTTTTCTTTCCTTGTTAATATCGTGTAACAAAAATGGAACCCCCGTTTTGGTTACCTCATATTGGTCTGGTAATATTAAATCAGTTATGTTGATTGGATTTGTAGGGTAATCATTATATTTATTTCTTGTTCTACGTACAGTCTGAGATAACATATCAATTGGTGGTAATTTACTAATAGTTATTTTAGATACATCTGAAACTATTTTACTGACTATATTTCTTGTAGGTTCACATGACGTTTTAGCTTCATTTTTTAATTTATCAATTGCTTCTTTAACATTAACTTTATCAGCATTTGGAGGGTGACTATGTGTGGGTATTTTTATAATTTCTCCTAAAAAAAAATTTTAAAAAAATGTAATTGACCGAAAAAAACAAATGCATTTTTGACACCAAAAGTATTAATCTGTTTTGACGTACCTGATTCTTCGTCATTAGTTGTATGACAGCGTCCTTTACATTTGTAATTTATAAATTCAACACAGCGCCAAATACATTTATTTTCAGTCGATCAGTGTAAGCTATGCAAATATCCGTCGTATGAAAGTAGCTTTTTGTCTTTTTGGCTATTTACAAAAATTAAATTCGACATTTTTCGTTTTCGTTTTCACGGATATGAAATGGTAACCACGCTCACAAGGGTAATGCCGATACCTTATCGAAAATTTCGATGGTCTGTATTTGTCAACTTATTTTATCATTTTTATTATTTCAACAAAATACAGGTATTGCGACAGGTTACGCGGCTTAATAATTTAATATACAGATATCGAAAATGAGATAATCATAAATGACTATTATATTGAATTCTACATGAAAGATAGATCAGAAGATAAAATGTAAAGGACGTTTACATGTTTGTAATGACGAAATTATAAAAGAATTTGAACATAATAATGTGCGGGACTGTGCTAAAGTTTAAGTATGCAAAGCTATCAATGAATTAAAAGAAAAAGCTATCGAACGACCCGATTTAAGAACACGTGCAGTCTTAGATTCAATTTCGACATCTGTAAGTACACTTATTTAAAATACTTCTTTTATTAATTGTAAAACTATTCTATTTCATAATATTATACATCTTGTAGCTTAGTACTTCAGCAACAGCGCATTTACCTAAATTAAGTTCTCTTAAACGAACGTTTCGGCGGATAAGAAATGAGGAAGATACTTCACCACCAAACCCAAAATCACCAAGTGATTTAATGATTCCCCAAAAATACCAATTGACGAACGATGAACAACCATTTTTACTATACGATAGTGGTCCAAGAGAAGACCGAATACTTTTATTTTCAACCGAAAGAAATTTACGTCTTATGGAAAACTGTAAACATTGGTATGCAGACGGAACATTTTCGACATCGCCTTCATTGTTTACTCAAATATATACGGTAATTGTTTTAAATTATTTTTTAATATATTAGTATATTTTAAATAAAAGCCTATGGTGAACACTAATAAGGTTATAAATAATAATAGGTATATAACCGATCAAACGTTGCAATTTAATTAATTTACTTGTTATTTAGAGATAAATGTATTAAAGTTACTTTACTCGTTACTCAAAATATATTGTAATGAAATTACTTTAATTTTTGAATAGAAAAATTAAGTTATATCATAATTATTGTAACTAAATGTGTAAATTACTATATGATTTTACAGATACATGGTGTACAGTACAGTAATGTTTTCCCATCAGTGTTTGCATTATTACCAAATAAAATGGAATCTACATATTGTCGCCTATTCGAAGCATTGAAATCAATAATACTTGAATTGAATCCGGACACGATTATGATTGATTTCGAGAAAGCGGCCATGAATGCCATTTCAAAAACATTTCCAGTTACAAAAATTCGAGGTTGTTTTTTTCATTTTACACAGTCCGTTTGGAGACACGTTCAACAAGCTGGACTTCAACAAAAATATACTGAAGATTCAGAATTCGCTCTACAAATCAGAATGATGAGTGCCCTTAGTTTTGTACCTATAGGCTATAGCTAATGTTGAACAGGCTTTCAATTATTTGATGGATACTAGTTACTACACTCGAACACGTGGATTGGTCGTATGGACCGTAGGAACAGAAAAAAGCCAGACTTATTTATCGATTTGTAATCTTTAATTGATTATGTGAGTGAAATAAGATCTGATGAAATGTTCCAACAATTTATTGATGAAGCAAAAAAAATTAGAAAAGAAGAATATGAATTGGACAAAAAACGTCGTCTTACGCGACCCCTCTTGTGCGACGAACTAGACGAACGTAGTTCTAGAGCAAATGAAATAGTTTTTGGTGGTAAAGACAAATTAAAAACCGTTTATTTTGCTGTATTGGATCAACTCAGAAAACAACTGGAAATGAGACATTCTGGGTATGAAAATATCTGCGATAAATTCAAATTTTTGATCAACATAGACAATAAGTCAATTGATACCGATGATATTGTCCAAGGAGCCAACAAACTCCAACAGTTTTATGAAACGGACATTGACGAAACCACATTTACTCAAGAATACATACATTTCAAAACGTATATACAAAATGCAACAGAAAAAAAAACAACAACATCAAAGTTTGTTTACATTTTTTAGGAATCAAAATTTAGAAGAACTATTTCCGAATGTAAGCATCGCTTTGAGAATATATTCCTGTATGGTGGTTACTAATTGTTTAGCAGAAAGATTGTTTTCGTGTCTCAAAAGAACGAAAACCTATTTAAGATCTACAATTGGCGAAAATCGATTAAATAGATTGGCTCTCCTTTGCATTGAATCTGAATTAGTGTTGATAATTGATTTTCAAGACCTAATCGAAACATTCGCTAACCTAAAAAGCCGAACAAAAATATTTTAATAAATTTATTATATAATATTTATAATATTTTAATAATACTTGACGATTGTATCAAATTTAATATAATAAAGAATTATTAAACTAACAATATATTTCTATATGTATTTTGTTTTAAAAAAAAGTATAAAATGAAAGGGCGGTAAATGCCCTGAGTGTAGGCGCCAAATTGCTTAATCCGCCACTGCCTGATTTGATGTATCCCATAGAATGTCTTGAATTCGAAAATATTGAAAATTTTAATTTATGGAAAAATGAAATAGAACATAAATCCAAATCATGTTACATAAAAAATTGTAGATCTATTGATAATGATCATAGTAATAAAAAATTTATATACTACAAATGCCACAGGAATGGAAATTATATTTCGAAAGGTACAGGTCAGGCATTTAAAAACACAAGGTTCGAATAAAATTAATGGATACTGCTCATCTCGTATTGATATTATTATATGTAAATTAAGTTGTTTGACGTACTATTCCGGGTTACCAACCACGGAGGATAGTTTCGTCGTGTGCGGATGAATTTTAATTTTACCAGATACTGTCCCTAACCAACAAATACAATTCTCATAGTATATAGACTGGATTGATATTTTCAATACTCAAACAATAATAAATAACAATAATACTTGTACAACCCTACTTACGAACTATGTTAGTAGCTTAGACACAGTAGGTTTTAAATAATAATAATAACAATTTCAATAATAAATATTTTGACAATAATTGTTGGCTTAAAGCCGACTCACAACACCCGTGTAAGAAGAATAGATGGTGGCAATGAATGGCAAAAACTTCCACAATCAACAACTTTCCGTTGACCAGCGCTTGAATATCAAGTAGTCCAACGTGGATATGGTGGCGATCGAGGAACAGCGCAGGTTTGGTTTAAGTGAATTATAGTTACAAACCGAAATTACTCCGCAAAGCGCAAAACCGCACGAGACACAGCTCGACAACGTACGTGTTCCAAGGTTCGACGACGACGACGACGACGACGTTCATTGACCGCTATGTCGACCGTCTTTGAAGCCGTATGATTCAGGCGGCGGGTTATCACTCTGTACTCAACATAAGTAAAAAATGTACAATTAAATTTATAGCAAATCATACAGGCCATGATAATGATTAAGGACATTTACCATTTTAAGGATTTTCTAGATAACATAGAAAGTAAGATGTCTCAGAATATCACTTTTGAACATATTTTAGGTGAAATACGTGATAATATTTCAAATAATTCTTTAGAAAGAATACACCTCTTAACAAAGAAAGATTAACATAATATTCAAACATCTTATAATCTAAATAATAAAGCTATATTACATGCAAATGATGCAATAAGTGTTGAAAGTTGGGTTCAAAATTTAAAAAAAGATGACAAATTTAGCCTTATATACTGTAAGCAACAAGACGAGTTAGATCTACAATTTTCAAATTTAAAAAAAGATGAATTCTTGTTAATTATAATGAATAATTATCAACAGACTATGTTGGAAAAATATTGACATGATGTAATTTGTATTGATGAAACTCGTGGTATGAATTCCTATCACTTCAATTTAACAACATTCTTAGTACTTGACAATATGAGAGAAGGTTTTCCATGTGCCCTTATGATTAGTAATCGTATCGATGAGGCAGTACTGACAATATTTTATTCTAAAATAAAATCATTAACAGGATAATTGCAGCCCATTGTATTCACGTCCGTTATGGCTAAAAGTTTTTTCAATGCATGGATTGTTGAAATAAAACGCCCAATACATAGATTATACTGCACTTGGCATGTTGATCGTGCCTGGAGAAAAAATTTGGTTAAAATCAAATCTAAAGATAAGCAATGTAAAACATACAAACTTTTGAGGACTTTACTTCGTGAACAAGATCCAAAAGCCTTTGAAATAATTTTTGAAGAAGCTATAAACCAATTGTCGGCTAATGATGACACTGTTGATTTTGCTAATTATTTTGTTAATAATTATGGTACATGCGTTGAATCTTAGGCTTACTGTCATCGTCTTCATGCAGGAATAAATACAAATATGCATATCGAAAGACTGCAAACTTTAAAATATTTAAATATAAAATTGATTATTACATAACATGAGTATTACCTTGCTATATTCAATAAAAAACCAACTTCTTGAATATGTGAAAAAATAGGCAACTGTTGTTTGACACAAATTTCATTAAGATTATCGTAATTATCAGTTATAAAATCCATTGCATCATAGAATGAGTTCCACCTAAATTCCAAAACATATGTAGTACTCTGCACACAGCAGTAGTGTATTAATATTACATTATTATATTAGAATCAAATTTAATAACGTGTTTATAGTTTTACCTTGCATTAGGAACAATAAGATAACGACCAAGAATCTCTTTTATCTGATCTACGCATTGTGTGGACTGGTACTGTTTATTAAACAACGCTTGACACTTGGCAAAAACACGTCTACTAATTCGTTTATAAGTTGCATCATACAGAGCTTCTACACTATCTACTGTAGCAACAAGATTAAGAGTATGAGCGGCACATCGTTGGTGTTGTTACGGAACAAACAACAACATCTAAAAAGGTCTTTTTCAAGACCAACAAATAAAGATGATAGGGAAAGTAAGACAAAGTGACAAATGAAAATCACACATTGTAAATGGAAATGTCCTAACAACGATGTGATTTTCATCTGTCACAACGAGATCCAATAGACCAATCAGCACCGGACTAGATTGCTGAAGAGGGTATAAATACCGGACACTTTCGACGATATAGTCGGTGCCGAAATATGCCATTTAGCTCTTTGGGTCAGCAAGTTCAAGTCGTGAGTAGTGAGAGTGGCGCTGGGTGGTTTGTATACCGCTGATACCAGTACTTCGTGGCGGTTTAGTTGGATAAGGACGGAAGCGGTCTGAATGAGTGTGTTAAGAGTTATAGGTTGGTGAATGATGCGTCGGTGGATTAAAACTGCCGTGCCACCGTGAGCAGGCGAGCCGCGGACGGGCGGGAGATCGTTCTTGTATGTGAAAAAGTTAGGAATGTGAAGTTTAGTAGAAGGGGGTAGAAAAGTTTCATTGAGTAATATTACGTCGATTTTGAGTAGGAGTGCGAGAGAACGAAGTTCGTTGAGTTCGTTTTTGATACCATTGGAGTTCCAAAAAAGTATTTTTAAGTTAGTCAAGAACATCAGAAATCATAACTACTACATTAATATAAATATTGGAAAACTTTTGAATAGTTTGGAAGATTATATTTTGCAGACCATATCCAGTACAAGTAGTAGTGACGAAAAATAGCCTATTTGTTTTTTCCAAGAATTATGTAGATTCCGGATCATTATGACCGTAACTGATTTAGTAACATCGCAAGTTATAAAAAAAATCCTGTATTGTGAAGACCTATTATTTCATCTTATTTGAAATCAAAGAAAAGAAATGATTTAACTGACATTTTATCTACACACAAAACACATTCTTTGGAATTCGCTGTCAAAGAGTTTGCTTTTACCGCAAGAACTTTAAACAAAAAGTTACTTAAAAAAGGATTAATTACCCAATTTTCTGTATTTTTTTGCAAAGTTCTAACAGAAAGCAAAATCCAGGATTTCAGGAGAAACTTTAGGACCCATAAAATGTATCATGAGTGTAAATTGTTTTGTCACACTTAGCACAGGTATCAGGTGGTTATGAAAGTCTTTCGATGCATGGGTTCATTAACAGGAATTGCGTATATTTCCTCTATATCGCCTCCCAAATTCCTCCAAAATGGGGTGCACTAGGAGGGTTTAAATTCCAGTTACACAACAGACAACTTGAACATTGATCCCTATTCACGGGTGAGCTGATCAAATCTTTCAGCTTGTGTGATGCTCCAATAAATTTTGTCTCACGATTGGAAAGCATGGATGTAGGTGCACCCCTCCGGTCAACAAATCTATCAAGGGCTGCTAAAAAGGCATTCGTTGATGGATCAAGAACAACCTCCTAATGGGTAACCTTCGTACCCATATAAATGTATAATGTCATGCGCACTTTTTGTTCCCGAGATTTTCGCAATTTCGTTTACTTCATCATTAAGAGTCCCGGGTAGTCAATACCCACAGTTGTTAATGCACAACAGGCTTGTACTCTGGACACAGGCA